ATCTGAGGTGATCTTGGAGCCCAGAAAAATAAAATCTGTCACTACCTCCATTTCTTCCCCATCTATTTGCCAGGAATTGAGAGGGCCGGATGCCATGATTTTGGTTTTCTTAATGTTGAGTTTCAAGCCAACTTTTGCACTCTCCTTCTTCACCCGCATCAAGAGACTCTTTAGTTCCTCTTCACTTTCTGCCATTAGAAATATATAGATAGTCCATACAATAAGCACTGCATGGGGCAATTCACTGAAAAAGTTTTCCCTAAGAGTGTCTTACATGTGAACGTATATGTATTTCTATCTGTTTGTTGAGTCTCATTATTGCTATTTTATAAAAGTGGATCAAAGAGGAAATCAAATCATAATCTCAGTAAAGATCAGATCTTTTGACAAATATAATGATTGCTTCTACAGTAATCCCTTTAGTTTGGATGGGATAAAAATTAGAATCAGGATTTAGGTCTTGATCTGATCTTGGCTCATCAAGTTACACTTGAAATAGCAACAGAATTTTACTATCAAAAACATTTCTCCTGGGAAAGAAATAAAAGGAATACCACACAGAGGGAAATTTTGTACGGAAAGTGATGCACAGTAAACATATTTGCACAATAAATTCAATCACTCTTTTTATATGTATTCAAAGGCTTCTGCCTCCTTGTTCTTATTCTTCATTCAGCAATTTCGTTTCCTTTCATCCTCACAATAACTATAGTTGATATTTTTTCTCATTTTAATTTATTTGAAAGAAATTTAATTCATGCAACAAGAGAATGACAATATCAAGGCCATCTCTACTTTGTGGTAGAGATGTGTGACTTAAATAAGTTTTCACACAGCTAAGTCAAATGTTGGACCCCGGACAGGAAATTCACACAAAAAAACTATTCATAATATATTGTGAACATATTGTACTGCTGTATTGTGGGGGAAAAAATCTCTCTCTTTTTTAATAAATTCTTTTGACCACTAATGACTTCATGCAGCTTTCTTAATAACAATAAGATAGCAATTTGCCAAGAATTAGCCAGACCTGATCCTGCTTACCTTCCAAGTTCAGGTAAAGTCAAACAGATGCTGCAACCTATAAACTCTAAAAACACCAATATGTCTGCGGTTCACCCTTAATTGTCATATTTCTTTACACTCTCCTTTCATAAAATAACTGCACCTTAAACAGTAATATTTTGAGAAGCCAGGGAGGCACACTTTTTAAAAAATTATAGTGTTTAAGATGACAATAACATTACTATAAATCTTAAACAGAACAAGGAATTCAGGGGATGCATATGGAGTGGGTGGGATTTATTGCTACTGCATAGATATGATAAACTTTTCTAAGGCTATTTTCAACCAGTTTGTTTTCAATCAAAATTAGTATGAAATTGTAATCTATTTTTCTATTTTTCAGCTACACGATTCCAGAGAATTTGGAGTCTCAGATGGTTTAACTTTATTTTATTTGGTCAAAGATTAAATTAAAAATAAAAACGCATAACTAAGTAAGTAGAATAAATTAAAGATGCGTAGAAATGAATAAAATTTATGCATATATATACAAAAAGTAAAATCATAAAATACTAATAAGCAATAAGGCAGTAGCTGACATTGGAAAAGTACATTTTAGTCCCATAAATGACACTTGGCCAATCTATGCCTGGGTGGGGCTAAGCCCACTGAATTCTGATGGCAACTGCCATGGTGCAGAATCTAGTGACTTTCTTGAATATTTCTATGGAAATATCTGCTAATAAAAACTGTACAGTTTTGGACTCGGTTTAACTGCTGCACAAACACAGACTGGATGCAATACAATACTGTAATATAAATTGCCAAACCTGATAGAGTGGGCAGTTCTGGAAAATGTGAGATGTTGTTTCAATGGCTGCATCTGAACATAAGCAGTCTAGATAAGGAATGTTGCCGAGCTGTCTCTGCACTAGATTTAAGATCTGGATATTACATTAGTTGGCTAATGTAAGTGCCTTTTTGTTTGGGGGACAAATATCTTTAGTTTGAAAAATGAAGATGTGTTAAAAGTTGTCTGAGGTATAATTTGAAGCTAGGTCTGTTACTTTCTACTGTGAAATCAAGAGTGCATTATTTGTGTCAGATATAGCTTTCTCCAAAGCCATCACTTGCAGTGCCTGAATAAGGCCACAGAAAGAATGAAGAGTTGAATTATCTGTATAAGCTGAACCAAAGAATGATTTCCACTTTAGTTTCATTATCTTAGGTGGCATATTCTTATCCAGGAAGCTCTGGAAGGAGATCCTAATTCAAGTGTCAGTAGGGCACTGGGGATAAACCAAGGGACACAGAGAATGGTTCAATTCGCTGTGGACTGCACTGTTTCTAAAGGCTTTATGTTTTAATAAGAGTAGAATGACATAGAGCAGAAATGGTATCTCCTTGCTTCTGAATAATCTGCTCTTGTCTTTATTTGTACATCAGAATCCTTTGGAAAGAAAACCTGTGATCTAAAGGGTTTACACCTTTCCCCTGTTTGCATCTCCCAGCTTAAGAAGTGGTTGTGCCTAATCCTCTGTTGCTTTATGAGTCTATTGGATGTCCATTCCCTTTTTAAAAGCATATTCCCTGTGAGGAGACTAATGCTTACTCAGCATGACAATTTGCAACTCAGCAAATATTTGCTGTACATGTGAACCATCAATTGAAGATAAATCACCTCATTTGATTTTTTTTTAAATAATTTCCCTATAAATGTACGAATCTGTGCCCTCCTTTCCTTTGCAACTGATCAAAACAGTACATTTTTTTTCTAATATGGACTGAGTTTTAACATCTACAAGAACACAGTACCAGGTGGCAGTTATTCCTGGCCACTGACCCATAAATTCTTGGGAAATTGTCTGAGAAGCCTGATGTGCAATGCATCATTTCTGCTAACATCAGGGGAAGTCTGCTTGTCTGCTAGTTGGTGCAACACAAATAGAAGAACAACAAACCCATTTACTCCCTGCCCAGTTACTACGTGAGCCACCAACCCTATGAGCACTGAGTTTGCCTTGGCATCTGAACAGCTGGTCATTGCAGAATGGCTTCCCAGGGAACTGTAAAAACCAATTGTGGCAAGAGATTAATTAATTGAAACCAAAGACATCTGTTGTTAATTAATTCCCCAAAGCATGGTTAACTCTTCCCTTGCTCATGTTTGCAGGATTCCAAGCCAGCAATTCTCCCAGCCAGACAGCCAAGCTTAGGACATGCCTATAGTTCAGGTGGGTAGCAAAATTATATTAGGGGGAAAATTAACTAATTAAGAGAAACAGAAGATAAAAAGTCTTCTTAAGGGATTTAAGAAGTTAAATCCCTTAATTTAATTGTGGCAAGTTCTTAAAGAGATGGGAATACCAGACCATCTTATTTGTCTCTTGAGAAACCTATATGCAGGTCAAGAAGCAACAGTGAGAACTGGACACGGAACCACTGATTGGTTCAAAATTGGAAAAGGAGTCCGGCAAGGCTGTATACTGTCGCCCTGCCTATTTAACTTATATGCAGAACACATCACGAGAAAGGCAGGGCTAGATGAAACAAAAGTTGGAATTAAGATTCCCGGGAGAAATATCAACAACCTAAGATACGCAGATGATACTACTCTAATGGCAGAAAGTGAAGAGTAACTAAAGAGCCTCTTGATGTGGGTGAAGAAGGGGAGTGCAAAAGTTGGCTTGAAACTCAACATTAAGAAAACCAAAATCATGGCATCCGGCCCTCTCAATTCCTGGCAAATAGATGGGGAAGAAATGGAGGTAGTGACAGATTTTATTTTTCTGGGCTCCAAGATCACCTCAGATGGGGACTGCAGCCAAGAAATTAAAAGACGCTTGCTCCTGGGGAGGAAAGCTATGGCAAATCTAGACAGCATACTAAAAAGCAGAGACATCACCCTGCCAACAAAAGTGCGTATAGTCCAGGCCATGGTTTTCCCAGTTGCAATGTATGGCTGTGAAAGTTGGACCATAAGAAAGGCTGAGCGCCAAAGAATTGAGGCCTTTGAACTATGGTGCTGGAGAAGACTCCTGCGAGTCCCTTGGACTGCAAGGCGTTCAAACCGGTCAGTCCTAGAAGAGATCAACCCCGACTGCTCTTTAGAAGGCCAGATCCTGAAGTTGAAACTCAAATACTTTGGCCACCTAACGAGAAGGAAGGACTCACTGGAGAAGGGCCTAATGCTGGGAAAGATTGAGGGCAATAGAAGAAGGGGACGACAGAGAATGAGATGGCTGGATGGAGTCACTGAAATAATAGGTGTGAACTTAAATGGACTCCAGAAGATGGTAGAGGACAGGAAGACCTGGAGGAATGTTGTCCATGGGGTCGCGATGGGTCGGACACGACTTCGCAATTAACAACAACAACAAAGGGATTTAAGGAGAATTCCAACAGATGCTTTTCACATGAAATATCCTTTTGAGTGGCAAATAATAAGGTGGATGTGAAAAGTAGATGTTGGGTCTATCCTTTATTCATATAACTCCAAAAGATAAGGAAAATCTTCTGTTCTTGAAAGAATTTGATATCTAAATTACTGCTTGCCATTTAACATGATTTTATTTTCAAAGTTTTGAGTTTGTGTGTATATTTGTGTTAGCATTCCTACTCACATGCTAGATGACTGATTCATTGTTTGGATACATTTCTGATTCTTGCATAATGTGATTATTAAAACAATATTTTGGAACACATTTTCAAGACCCATTATTGATGGATAACTGCAACTGGAAGCAAGTTAAAATATTCTTTTAAAGCAACTTCATATACTGATAATACAAGGTAAGTGTGTGTAAATTCCCCTCACAGATCTGCATGCTTTCACTATAAGAAAAGTAAATTGTTGAAGTTTGTACATTCCAAATTTCAACAAGATGCATGCTGTATGTATATTTTATATTAAGGTATTATATTTATGTATAGAGACATTTCAACTGAAATGTATAGTACTTTTAATTCCCAAGCCAGTACACAACACTGAACAATTTTAAGAGTCAAAAGTGAAAAATATTTTTATTTACAGTAACAAAAACACATAACATTAAACTTTTCCCATACTACAAAGAGGCAGAGGACTGCCCTTACATGCTACAAACTGTCTCATCCACTCTCCCCAAGATACTGGATGTCAGTGTTGTCAATGTTCTTTTTAAGAGTATATGAATTTTTTTTCTAATAGTAAGTGACTCATATCCGGTATCTTTGAGTTGGGTTTAGTGTTTTCCTGCTGTGGGAAAAAGCAAAGGACAGCAGTTTCCCTTGTCTTCTTTTAAACCAAAATCTGTTCAAAAGCTTTTTCTTGACAGATGCCAGTGGTGGTAAAAAAAGGCCCTTGACTTTGTGCATTGAAAATGAAGAGCGACATGTTCTGGTCACATGGAATGATACAATCCCAACACTGACATGGACAAATGGAAGATGAAGCAGCAGGAATGAGATATGGTCCCGTCCCTGAATTCACAGGAAAGATCAGCTCCTTACTGCTGACAGGTACCAAGTGGATCCACACTAATAAGGATGAATTAAGGTCTGTTCTCTGAATCTTGTTACTGGATGAATTTAACTGGTGTGCTAGGGATAAACCCAGAACAATTGCATGAAAACATTAGGTGAGCTGCCATTGCTTTGCATGCCCAGGAGGCAGCACAGTTACCAACTAGTGGGCATCAGATAAGGCAGCAGTAACTGCCAGAGTTAAAACAACCCCTGCAGCTGGACCAGTAGGGGGAACAACTTGCTGTCACACTAAACATAGCCTGGGCATGTCTGCTGTGATCTTTGGATTTGTGTAATTGCTTCAGATCTCAACCAACCGGCATAGCTAGCCATGCAACTATTCTTCTATGATATTTGGCTCAGGCAGCAGGAACACTGCTATTCCCCATCCTCCATGTGGAAAGTTCTGATGTGAGGGCAAAGAGAAAGAATAAAGACAACGACTACATGGAGATATACCGCTACTTCTTCAAACGTTTCGTTGCAGTCTGGGAAAAAAGCAACCACATCTTCTAAACAGTTTCTGAGCCCAGAAATGTATCCAATAGAATTAACTCTGTCAACTCTTCTATTCTGGTCTCTGGATTCAAACTGGGAACTTCTCAAACCTCTGCCATCTGATAACTAAAGAAGAACAATAAAGACTTAATTAGCACAGTTTTCCCCAAGGATCCCATTCGGAGCTCCTGTTCAAGATTTGATTTCAGGAAGAAAAACAAAGGCCACAGCACTCCATGCAGATCTCCAGGCAATCAGCTGACTCACAGCAGGCATCAATGATGCCACAATCCATGTCACAGGGCAGGTCACAATCAGCACATTCCCCAGAGCCACAGCAGCAGCAACAGATGCAAGAATCCTCAGAGCTGCAGGAGCCACAAGTGGCACAGTCCAGCATGATGTTGCAGAGGGTCAGGAACTCACAGAAGAGGCAGGAGAGAATACAGTGGACGCAGCAGTCTGCAATCGGAAAGAGACAAGACTATCAAAAGCAGGCCACAGATAGCCAGGTACAAGAGGCTGAAATAGGGCAGGAAGGCTGGATCAAAATTAGAAGAAGAAGAAATGAAAGACAACATTTCGCACAGCTAGAGCACAGCAGGATGCTGCAAAGGCATCACTCTGAAGCTCTAAGGATGCCAAGAAGAGCACTAATGTTCAAACCAACCAACTGCATACCAGCATCTGAAAGCTCCTAGGACCAGCCTTAGAAGATTTTGTAAATACCCTGCAGATGCAGGTGAATGGTTGGATGGGCCTCATAATACAAAATTCTTGCTTCCATGGATCAGAGTAGAAACTAGTGGCCTTTGAAGGGGCTGAATGTATGAGTAAGTAAGTGATTATCTGGGAGGCTACAGCAAAAATAAAACTAATGATCTTTTGGCAGTTTTGATTGCAAGTCTGGAGTACTTCCAGATATACAGCTCATAATATTATCAATCAACAGTGTAGCTAGTCCATCTTTCTATACTTAACAGATTTTCTTTGAAAGGTAAACAGGGGAGGGGAAGAAATACTGAGAAAATGCAGGAGAGTGTCAAATAGAAGAGAATGCCTTCTGGACTGTCAGCTTGTTGGAAACAACTGCCATTGGGCTTCTCTGGCAGAATGACAACTAGCACCCAATAAATTCAAGAGTGAATGTATGTCTTAAAAATACTTTAAAACAACATTAAGGTCTAAAACCAGTGCTTTAAAAAAAAGATTGGGAGAAAATTTGGGGGAGTACTGATTACAATGGATGGTGTGATATTAATTTGGATGGGGTCCTTGTACAGAATGTACTTGTTTCTTTCTTTCTTGATTTTGAGAGAGTTTTGAGGACAAGTGGCTGTAAAATCTGTATAGGAGGTGCCAGATAAGCCTTGTTCTTCAATGATATTGCTCACATAACACTAATCTCCTGCAGGAGGAATCCAGGCTGACTCAAACTCAATATAAAACTCTCTCTTTTGGCTGATATCACTTGAGGTCAGGACCTTGGACCTCTCTAGGAGCTTTGGTTTTTGGAACCCTTGAGTAGAGATTATGCCTATATTAAGATTTTCATAACAGTTTCATTGTACAGGTAGTCCTTGGACTTGGCAGTTGGGACCAGAATTGCTGTCGCTAAGCAACATAGTCTTAAAGCATGATATCATGTGACTGCGCCACTCAGCAACAGCAGTTCAAAGTCCTGCTTGCTGTTGTTAAGCGAGGACCTCACGTGACCATGACTTCCTGCTGACTTCACTTGTGGAAGCTGATAGGGAATACTGGAAATTTTGATTGTGTGGCTGCAGCTCACTGTGATACCATAATTGTGAAGTATATGCCTAACCCCCAGATCATGCTCACATGACTGTGGGGACCCTGTGATGACTAGAACTCCAAGGACTGGTCATGAGTCTCCCCTACTCAGCACTGTTGCAAGTTTGAATGATTGCTGCATGAGTGGTTGTAACCCATCTGTATTTCCCACATTAAAATGTCAGAAAAACATTCACTTAATGTTTGGGAGTTATGGGATAGTAGAGAAAGACTGCAAAAAAGAAAGAAAGGAATTGCGAATAATTGTGGAGCTTCGACTACAATTCTTCTAAATCGCCTCATAAATAAATGAATATTTGCTTGCAGTACTTACTCTCTTATTAATTGTCTTCCCCTATTTGTACAGTGTCTTCTAGATAGTTAAAACCATGTTTTTTTATAAAAAATAAATACATTCAGGAATGCAATTTGCAAGGGTGAGGAAAATACAGTGAAGCAGGACTTTGGCATTTATATTGAAAAACAAAATGCAAAACACAGAAAGGAACAATGGAATTCAAACTCCTGACCTGCCTAGTTTCAAAAGCAGAAAACGTTCCCCAAACATATGTTTATACACAGCAAAGTTGCTCTTTTGTTAATTCCTGAAATGCTATTCCCATATAGGGGCACAATAATAATTAAAGATAAACGAATAAAGGCATGACTACCCAGAAATTTCCTATTTTTAATTAATGCTTTTGAGGACAGTGGGCATATAAGAAATTCCCTTAGTTCAAAAGATACAGGATGTCTTCCACCATTTGGCCATGTTAGTGGAAAAATCTGAATGGAAAGGACACCAATGTCTTGGGATCAAGAACTCGTGTTTTAAAAAGTGGACCCAATTCTTAATAATCTCCCAAGGTGAAGAACCAGTTGAAAACTTAGAGCTGATTTCCTATCTTAATTAACCAAATTCTGAAAGGGGAGCGAAATACACAGGTCCAAAACTAATGTAAATGAAAAGCCTTAGTCTTTGAGGTTGGATGACAACTATGCTTTTCTCTTTCTCATCCTATATGCCTTCATTATACCTGTTCTTCCCCATTTCTTCTTTATCCCAACCCTTCTTTATCCCTATGTTATTGTTAGACTGAGAGTTTTAACCTTGACCAAGGGCTAAATTACATCATGGACTAGAAACCAGAAGACAGTATATACTATGGACAAGGTGAATATGCATTCAGTTGCTCCACGAAATTGTGAACCAAAGTCAATGTAGACTGATTGATAATTGGAGATATGAGCAATTCTTTTCCTCTCTTCACTTTTCCCTACTATTGAATTTTTTTCCACCTATCCTTGATTGGTTGAAACTATATTCCTATGAAAGTTGCTGTCCTCATTACTGAACCCTCTTCTGCCTCTATTCCTCCTGTTTGAAGTCTCTGCAATCATCTGATTTCCCTCCAGTTCCCTTTCAACCTTGGCAACTTTAAGATGCATGGACCTCAATTCCCAGAATCCCTTCACTGCACTTGGCTGACTGGGGGAATCCTGGGAATTGAAGTCCATGCATATTAAAGTTACTAAGATTAAAAAAAACTGCTCGAAGGGGATGGGGTCAAAGTCTAGCCTATTTGACAATCCTGAAGGCTGTTCTTGGATTGTTTCAGAATGAAAAGACCAAGTAGGAACATGGTCTCTCTTTCCCTCTCCCTCTCCCTCCCTCCCTCCCTCCCTCTTTCATTTAGAGGACCAGGTAAGTGAAAATAGTCATGCAAGCAGAGAGATACCTTCCTGTGCTTCAGTAGGGATCTGAGAGGATGCTGATTTGGAGCTGCTCTTGCTTTTTTTGCTGATATGACTGTTGATGGAGTGATGCGACTGCAGTTTCCGATGAGGCTTCTGGGAACTTGACAGTGATCTAAGTTCGGAGTATAAAATCCCATTGCCAGCCTCTCCTTTAGAATTGCTGAGGTCATCTGATATATATCCAGCACCATTTTGTAGTAATGGGACACAAGTCAAGTCTGAAGGAATCTGGACAGTGACTCGGCTTTGAGGCTGACCTGTTGGAGGAAGAAAGACAATGTTTTCTTTAAAAAAAGATCCTAATTGTTTAAGTCAAGCTTTGTATACATCTTCTCATGGACTTGATAGATAATGTAAACTGTTTGAAAAAGAAGAAAAATAAATAAACTTTAAACAGTAAATCATCTTGCTTTTATTCAGTGTCAAGGAAATGCTTCCCATCTGGATTTCTTTAAATTTTCTGAATGTATTTCTTTTTCTTTTTCACTTATTATCACTATTTTATATAGAATTTTAAATTAACTCACCAGTTGATGTATCATTTTTTTAAAAAAAGAATGAAAAATTCTAGCCAGACTTTATGTCATATTAGTATCTGTTCCTCTGCAAAGTTGGAGAGAAGCAAAATACCCATTAGGATCTGTGGCTAATTTTTTAACCCTTAGTTTCAAAACTAGGAATGATCTTTTGAAATGAACCTGGATAAAAACAGACATACAAATAGGACAACATAAAATTGTAACTGTAGCTTCCACAAGATTAAGTTGGGAGTGGATGTACACATGAGATTTATCTTATTTTGAATTAAGATTTTTTGATGTCAGTTTTGATAATGGCGTTTTATGATTGAGCAAAAAGAGAATAGATTTCTTGGAATTATTTCTATTTCTTGGAATTATTTCTATTTCTTCTTATTGTTTCTTCTATGCATAACTTGCTCCTGGAGCAATCATTTTATTGGCTTTAATTTCTCAGAAAACATTCTGAAAAATAACTCTTATTTCTTATTTTTAAAGTCTGCTTTCCTCTACAGTCCTTAGTGCAATTAAATCTAGCAGCTAGACATGTAACTGAAATCGAGATACCAAGAACACTTAATTTAGTCCTATGGTCTGCAGTAATATCCTTTCCTGTGACTATTTTTTTTTTGAATTTTAATTCATAGATGAAGTAAAGCTTCTTTATAACAACGATTAAAAGTCTCTTCGTGTTATTGTTTCTATTTCAGGGCAGCTAAGGGATTAGCAATGAATTGTCCCATCACGAGTCAGCTCTCAGAGAAGTAGCTTCCTTTAATATCAGCTTCAATTATGAGCAACAAAGGTTGGTCACAAGTTAGCAGAGATATATTTCTCTCATGATAGATGCAAACAAACATGATGTAGTAATCAAAGATAATTATGTTTTAAGGTAGGACAGCAGCTGTTCCTATGAGGAGCTGTAAAAAATAAAAAGAAGAAAAAACTAGCTAAAGATGTAGTTGTTCCTTTTCCTTTAACAATAATCACCCTTGAAGTTTGAGACAACTAAAAAGCCCTTCAAACGCAGGGCAATGTTCCCATATGCTAGATATGCATAGAAATTTACTGTCTGGAAATATTTTTTCTCCAAAAGTTAAAATAGTATGGTCTTTTAAAATAGGTTTCAGAGTATATATGACAAAAAAAAGCTAACTAAAGCAAATGTGTAGATTAAGGTATGGTATTAGGAGATTTAACCAATGATTTTTTTTCTGCATTTCAACAATTTTTAAGACCTAGAAAGTGAATATCTGCACATCACCAGGGCTTTTAAAGAGCATTAAAGTGTTCGTTATCCTTTATCTTCAGTCTCATTGGGGCCTGCTATCAGGCAGAAAGTTGGAATAGAAGTATATTAATTTAATAATAAATATTAATAAACAATCGTATTCAGAGTTGTTAAGAACGATTTATGAGTTTTAAAACTCAGAAAATTGTATTGACCACATGCCAAAACTGAATCTATGTAATGCAACATGTTTTGGCATGAAAACTACTCATTCTGTGCCAGTTATTATTATTTTTTTTTAAAAGGAAACACATATTTGGAAATATTTCCATTCAACTTTAATTGCATTTATATACTAGTAACTGTGTTCAGGATCACAGCAGAAGTCCAAAACAAACAAATAGAAAGCTCTTCAGGAAATTGAATTATCTGGGAAAAACTGCTTGAAAAATACAAGCATTATCCTGATTTTAAGTCTTCCTTGGTGGTGGTGGTGGTGGTGGTCGTGAGAGCAGAACTCCTTGGCTGTATGTCATGCCTTGGAGGATCGGTCTTTTCTGTGATAAGCAGCTTCGTTGTCTTTGCTGAGCACTATTAGACAAGCCCAGTGCTGGCTGACCTGTTATTCAGCTCTTCTCCACTACAAACCATGCAACAATAAAAAAGCAATTCTGATTGTAAACTATTGTCTAGCTATAACTGTGTGGCTGCATTTTCTTCAATGGAATTTACTAAGTATTTATGGCTAAAAGATCATATATATAGACGACTACTTTGCTACCTCACCAGCACACCGGATTTCAAATGATATATACCAGCCGCTTGAGGAACAAGTATTAACCAGATCTAAATGGCAACCATTCTGTTGGAGGCAACATATTAACTGATTGTGATTTGGCTGTGAATGCTCAAGACTCCTTTAAGCATAAATTCATAAAAATTCTAATATAAAGAGAAAAAAATAATGCTAGTGCTTTAAGTATACTCTTTTAGGGCATGATATTTTGAAGTCCATGTTTCAATTCTGCCATGCATGCATTTTGGTGCATACATTTTCTACAGTCTATAGTATATTATATCTGAAATGAACAGTATATATAAGAAAATGGCCTGGTTCACACATCTACATCATGGACTTTTGCCAAGTGTAGTAAGTCATAATTGGCTGGGTTCACATAATACACTAAACCAGGGCTTTTCAACCAGTGGTACAGGTACCACCTGTGGTACATTGGCACCTGGCAGGTGGTACGCGGCCACCCTAGAAAAGTGGTAGTGGGGGAGGAGAATGAGCTGAACCGGTGGCAGCACCCCCACAAGCCTGAGCGAGAGATGGCTGGAGCTGCAGGGCTGTCAGGGCTCAGCGGAAGCGCCAGGATCAGCACCAGGATCCAGCTGGAAAGCAGCACTGATCCTGGCACTTCTGCTGAGCCCAGAAGAAGCACTGATCAGCTGGAATGTTGCAACATCTCCAGGGTCTTGTGATTTACATTCAGATGCTTGGCAACTGATTCATATTTATGACGGTCACAGTGTCCCAGGGTCATGTGAAGTAATCAAAACCTGCTGCAACCACCCACAGCAGATGGGGGGGAATAAAAATCAAACACCCCCCCACCCCCACTGCCAATCCTCAACAGAAATGCTCACAACAATGAAAACCTCGGACAGGAGGAAGAGCGCTGCAGGGTGGGCAGGCAGGAGTCTTCCTCGGCTGTGGCTTGGGGGGGCACTTTTTTCAGTGCTATTGTAACTTCGAACAGTCACTAAGTGAACTGTTGTAAATCGAGGACTACCTGTACTTTATCACTCCCCCCCTTTTTTTTTGGTCATCAAGTTTTTGACACCTTGCTAGGCGATTGGTGGTACTTGGATGTTGCCATATGCTAAAAGTGGTACAATAGGTGAAAAGGTTGAAAAGCCCTGCACTAAACCAAAGTCCACCAAAAACACATTGTCGCTTTAGTACAATATGTGAATCCAGAACACATTGAATGAGCTTTTTAAGAAGTGCTACTCAGTTGAGGAAAGGTAAAGGAGCACTTTGTACACTTTTAAAGAACCCATCCCAACTTTTCCAGTGTTAGCCAAATGTTTAACTTTCTGAAGATTATAATTAAGCAACGTCCCAATGTTCTTGTAATCAGAACAGTACAGAATGATCCTTGGATATACAAAATGTGTTGAAGCAGTCTTAAAATTGTTGATTTAATAGACAATGGACAGATCTGTGGAAAAATTTAAATTATCTTGGCCAGTAAAGATATTTGAAGGAAACAAAGCATAATTTAAACTGATTATGAACTATAAATACATATCAATTATATTTGGATGTATGTGAGATTATCTCCATCCCTCAAGGTTCTAAAAGGCCCTCAAGACTTTGCTATGTTATCTGGCCTGAGGGTCCCAGGGGACTGGAGAGATGTGGCTTCCCTTACTGCAATTAATATCTTCTCCCCCTTTTAATGTTTTTTTTAACTGTGACTGTTTTTATAGTTTTTTAATTGTGCTGTACACCACTCAGAGTCACTTTCATGTGAGATGGGCAGCTATATAAATATGATGATAGATAGATAGATAGATAGATAGATAGATAGATAGATAGATAGATAGATAGATAACACAATCTGGTCAGATCAGAACCAAGCAAAAGGGTGGGTTGGCTAAAAAGCAATGAACCAGCCCTCCACCCACTCTCAGTAGATCTTGTATTTTTGGGAGGGGGTGGGGGTAGATTTTACATTTCTTCTCTCTGATTTGTAAAGCAGCAGTGATTTAGCAGAAAGTATTGAAAGTTAAAGGCACCACGAGCCAATTCATGAAACAGAAGCTATATTCTTTCTGGGGTGTCAGCTGGACAGGGCTCCTGGACTTCTCAGATTAAAAAGGCCACATTGACTCAAACTGCGAGCACCATACATGGCCTTCAAGCACAAGATGCTCCTTGTATCACGATACTGAGGAGCCAGGAAATGCACAGCACATGCCTGGCTGTACAATCCTAGTTTCTTTAGTTACGGGTAACCTATCAAAAGGGTGTTACTCATATTCAAATCTCTATTGTCAATACTGGAATCAAAGAGAAAACAAGTAGAACAGAATGCGTGAGGACACATATAACTATTGTGGTTTTTACTTACCTATACATCCTTAGGTAAATACAGAAAAGATCTAGTTGCTTTGATTTTGGTTTGATCAATAAAAATGGATGCTCGGTCCTGCAAAAGCACTCTGTGCAAGCAACAAAACTGAACTACTCTCCTTCTACAGGAATCATTTATAAGCAGAATTTCATTACAAACTCAGCAGCAGACACACACAGAATGCTAAGGTAAGACATCAAAATAATTTTTTACGCTACAAGCCAGAACTGTTAATGATCAATAATAATTGCATAAAATAAGCATGAAAGCATTCTGGGGAAAAAAATTCCCTGAAGAACAGAACAGAATGGAAGAATAATTTGGCTTTCTATAAGGATTATTTTCCTGGAGAATAGATAGAAACAATTTCTGGCCAATGAGTACTTATCATGATTATGAAACATCCATCTTTAGCAATTTTAAAATTTAATTAAAAAACTTCTGAAACACTTTTCAGTTGGTGATCTCAAAGCATCCCAAATCAAGCTTTGCCTGCATTTTATAACATTATCCTTAACCTCTTAGCCACAGCTATTCTGTAGTTCATAACTAGCAGGATATATGAACTAAGAAAAGGTATGTACCGCTGCACATTACATATATCACATACAGTATACCCTATGTATATTGTATTATAACTGAAATTGAATCAAGCTTAGGCTACTCGTTAGATGCACAGTTTCCTCTTTTTTGTGTGAAAGAAATTGTTTCTTAAAATACAATATGTTTTTTGACCCATCCATGATCCAGGTATGCAAACATCATTCTGAAATCAATCTGCACTGTGGTTTTCTTTCTGCTTTTTTGTGACTTTGGAAAGGCTGCATTAGCATGCTAATAGCAATTTTTCATGAAAGTTTGTTACTAATAATAGTTACCAAGATCCAACTATATCTACAATTACATCTGCAGAATAAGAAGAGCAAGTTCTATCTTTGTATGTAAATGCTGAGAGTAAAGCTTAAGTTTAAGAATGACTTTTGCTGGCTGAGTTCAATGGAGCCCATGAGAATATGGGTTCCCACACTGACATGACTTTAACTGCAGTGGCCTGAGTGAACTATTCTAATTATCATTATTTTAGGGATAAAATTATAGAGTGGGGACTCCCCTAATCAGATAATTACAGGTGGGACTTTTGCTGACGATAAAGAATTTTGTCCCCAGCACATTATTACAATTTTTCTTGGCCTTCCAACAGTCTCCCTTTTCCAATCAGACCAACACCCTGTGCTCCACTAGCAATCTCAATTATTTCTAAAGGTCTCTCTGATTCAGCGTTATGTGGTCATCAGGGAGCTTCTCTTAAACAAGCCAACCAAAAAGAGTGAGAGTTGCACTCAGACTAATAAGTTATTGTTGCTGTTGTTGTTTTGTTATCTGAAAAAAAAATAAAACCAAGAAATGTGTGTGCCATATTTATAAATAGAAAATGTAAAAAAAATTGATTTTTATTATTTAGGGGAAAATAGATTTTGTAGCAAAAAGTTTTAACTTAAAGGCTCAGCCACTGATAAAAATGTCATACTTTGATATTTGAAATAGCAATATGACCATTCCTTTGACTTACCTACATCCATATTGTTATAATGTAAGTTGGGCTACATACTTTATATAAAGGTTGTTTTATTCCTAAACTAAACTAGCAACCAAGTAAAGAGAATTGGTTCCTATATTAAGTTGCAGAGATACTATGATTTTAGTACTCAACTCAGCCCTTCAGCTGAGCTCAGCTGGCAGCTACATCTACACTAGCAGGCAGTTTTCTTAGTAAAAGTGGAGGAAAAGATTAGTATTGTTTGCTTCTAGTTTGTTTGTTTTTTATTTCCCAATTTAGCATACAGCCCTCACATTGCTATCTCACATTATTGTTAGTTTCCTATCTGAGTACAAACCAAGTTTGTTCCTGCTTCAAGCCAAAACAAGCATCCAGGCCCAAACAAGCTCACCTCAATGCTTCTACCTGTTGAAAAGCTCACCTTTCCACTTTTGTTACATGTTATGAGTCAAAATTCAGTTTTAATAATTAAACATATTAATACAACATATCCGAAGCAAGCCTGATTTAAAAGTTGCCAAACTAAAGACATAGGCTGTCATATGTTTGAGTATACCTAGGCAATCCGTCATTAACTGAAATTGACATAAAAAAACCACCATGAATTGGATCAGGATTGGAGCACCTGCATTTTATATTTTTCTGCCTGTTAATGAAATTGGATAAATGAACCTTTCTAAAATGAACATTTCTAAAAAGCAAATGAATGAATTTCAAATTAGGGAAATCCATTCATTTTTTACCTAAATTATTTAGATCTCATCAATAGAGCATTTGAAAAAAGTGTACATCAGTTCTGTTGACAGCAAGATGTTAAAATGTAATATTAACAATACAAAATATAGAATTTTTTTAAGATTAACAGCAACAGCTTCTTTTAAAATGGTGAAGACGTTCAAGGAGGATTATTTATGATATAAACCCTATGTTCATTGGAACCAGTGGTGGGATTCAGCTGGTTCGCACCACTTTGGCAGAACTGGTAGCTAATTTTTTGTTGCCCAGGCAACAGAATGGAAGTGGCATCCATACAGAGAACTGGTTGTTCACATATTTGAATCCCACCATTGATTGGAACTGTTTATAACATAGAACTGCATTAAAATCTTCTATAGCACAGTACCAAGAATTAAACATCGGCATAATTCATAAATAAAATTACCATCTGCAAAAATTAGACAATACAAATTGTAATGTTTTTCAAATACATTGCAAATATATGTGCTTATTTTATCATCTTTACTGGCTGTACCAAATTTGCGTAACTTTTTGGTCACAAGCTTTTGAAGAAATTGAGAAACTGCCTTTCATAATAAATCCTGCATTTGAATTATTGACCATATTTCCTAAGTCATATGATATTCTTCTATTTCTTTCTATAAAAATTAAGAAATAAATACTAATAAATAAAAATATTTAAATAAATAAATAAAAATTATTGATTCAGTTTTTTGAAGTTTGTTGTTATTAACCCCTCCCCCCGGAAATGTAAAATTGAAATAAATCTTTCTGTCAATCAGAGGTATTTAAATATGTGGGAAATTGCTTTGGTTGAAAATTTTCAAATAATGACAAAGGGTCTTGAAAAAAATCTACTATAAGGGACTTTTTCCCCCAAATTTGATTATGGTATTTATTAGCTATGTTAAAACTTGTATTCCTTAAAAAAAATACCATGTCTGTGGAATATTTGTTCTATCTCTATAGAAATATTGAATATTGGTGCTTAGAACGTTTAGGACTCTTCCATTCACTCACTGTTTCACATACACTTGCTTTCATTTTTTAAAAAAGTTCTTTTGCCACAATTTATTTTTCAAGTTGTAATTTTGTTTTATTTTATCTGGATATTTTGTTTCTCAGTTTTAAAAAAAAGGAAAGGAAAAAGATGGTGTGAATGGAAGGAAAAAAACATACACGTCACTGCTTCTGTTACGATGAGGCTGCCCTTGGATTCTGTGTTGGAGGAAGAATTTCCATTCATCAGGGATCTAGGAGATGTTGAATATTCTTCCAGTGAGACTTCTTTCACAACTGTGGTCTGATTTTGAGAACTAGGAGTAGAGGTTATGAAGTCTGAAGCTGCTGATGCTACCTCTGAAGTTGGCCTGGAGGAAGGGCATGAGTTTGTATCTTGGCCTGCAAAGGAAAAGAGAGTTTCAGCATGAATATAGCTTACTTATATTATGGACAGAAGGCGGCTTCAGAAAATCCAGAAGGAGGCTTCAGAAAAAGTGGAAATATCATTACAGAAGTGTTTCTCTCTCTTTTACACACATACACACACACACACATACATACATAAACATATCCATAGAGAAATAGAAAAGTGGACTTCAATATATATTATTTATTATCATGTATCAGCAGTGGTTGAGTAAAGAGTAAATGGGGTTGTGATCCTCTGTTATTTGACAAACAGTTGATCTGCTATTTTGTTCATGAGCAAAACTGCCTCCCCCTCTTCCCCAGATTCTTCCAGTGATCTGTGGTGTCCTGATTTTATATTGGCTGCCTTCCACAGTGAAAATGAGAAACTGCATAGCACAGAAAACAGTCCTGCAGTTTTGAAAGTGTAGGACAAGTGCTTTATTGCATCCTTATTTTGAATCTGTATTCCGTATTCAAGTACCCCTTTTTGGGGGTTTTTTTTTTTCTGGGCCTCTCTAATCCAGCCTTCCAATTTCTATAGACTAAAGGATTTTAGGCTGGTGTGTAAGCCTTACAAATGAAGAACAGTTGCAGGAATTGGGTGTGTCTAGTTTAATGAAAAGAAGGACTGGGGTGATATGATAACTGTGTTCCAATATCTAAGAGGCTGTCACAAAGAAAATGGGATCAACGTATTCTCCAAAGCACCTGAAGGAGGACAAGAAGGAATGAATGGAAACTAATAGAGAAAACCATCCTCCACCCTCCCCTCTCATAATGTTTCCCCTTTTAGGGCACTGCTGGGTTTAATCTAATGGTGAATCAGGTTATAATATCATGTGATTCACACATCATGAGAAATGATGGCACAATGTCAAAAAGAGAAAAGGGAAGGATTTGTGCACAGCTGGACTGTACAAATATTGCATATACCAAGAAAATACTGTATTCTGTAAAAGTGGATTGATAACATTTTATATATGCCCCAACATTCCTATAATTAACTTTAATCTCATGGTGTTTAGATTTTGGTACTACTATTTGTCATTTCTCTGTTGAAACCTACTCAAGTTGGTCATTTTTTATCTGTTGTTTTCAGTCCACAGAAGACTCAAAATTGTGAAACAAAGGAGGCCTTCTTTTAAATATTGAATTATCCCATCTATGTATGTGTTTCAGAGCAATTGCTGCCTTTTTCTTTCTTGCAAAACACACACCGACTAAAAAGGCATTGAGGTCATCTATAAAGCAACAACAGTGTATAATTGGGAGATGCCTTGGTGCAATTGTTGAATTTTATTGGGTAGAAATGGAAACTGTTGAAAGAGGAATTTCAAAGCCTGAGAAGAAAACTGGAGATTCACTGAAATCAGTGGCCAAACTCCCATGGAGACCCTGAGATGGCAGGCTGACAAATCTCTCTCTTCACCCCTAAAACATCTTTAGTTTCACCCATAGCACTGTTCCTTCCTACTCTCTGGGCTCCTTCCTGCTCCTGCTGGGCACTCAGAATAGCAACAATTTGCACACAGGATGAGCAGCTGGATGCACCAGCTTTGGAGGGGTGGAGTCACATTTTATATAAAGTAAATTACACCTTAGGTGAAGAGAGTAAGACCAAACACCCATAATTACACTGCCGATAACAACAAGGCCTCCTGGCAGGCAAGCAGGGGGCTGAAGGCAGGAAGCAAGAGGCTTTGGACCCATCATTATGCTGAATAGAACAAGTGGTCCTACATGCAGGCAGTCAGGGAGGAAAGGAGGCAGACCGCACACACATAATTTTTAGTCATTGTAACACAGAGCCCAGTATGAAGACTGAGGGACAAAGTCTTGGGCTACTATAGTTAACAAGTTATTTTCTATGTGATTCAGAAACATCTGCATAAACAAATGATTTGAGGTGACTCATACAGCAACATTGTAGAAGCTTTCCCAGAAATGATTGTTTTGTCCAGTATCAGAGTGCCCTAGCAATTGGCAATCTTCATCAAACAGAAGCCATCACTTTGTAATTCAGTGTATGTTCTTCCCTCCCTGTACGTGTACTTTAAGAATGAAAAGCTGGCCTTTCCTTTGAAATACAAAACAATCCTGTTGTTATTATTACACCTTATTTTTAGGGTATGGTTTTAACTTGCTATGCAAAGGCCAACCGTATTCCTTAGTCCTACCATATTTGTGGACCCTGTGCTATATGGATCCAGTGCTTAACTAAGAGATATTGGAGGTGATGCTTGTGCTATTTACTGTACTCTGTAAATCCTGAATTATTAACTAAAATTCAATATTAAACATGTGATTTTAAAAAAATAAAAAATGATTTAATAAACTTCCATCATTTTAAAATCATATGTTTAAATATAGTATCTTTAAAACTTACATGGCTAATAGACTTTCAGTAGTATAGATTAGTGCTAAAGTGTTATAGAAAGTTGCTTCCGGTAACTTCAACAAATAGACCAGACTAGAAAATCAATGCCATACAGGTCAGTACTACTTTAATTGTAAAAATTATAATGACAAAATCTAGCACATCTGAATGTGCTTCCCTGGCTCCCTTTAACTTCCTGTAAGAGAGGGACTAAACCTCCAATACTGTGTAATACTTAAATACTTAAAATAGGAAGGAGGCCGAATGAGTTAGTAAAACATTTCCTACCAATTTTAATTTAACACCCAGTTGCAAAGGATTAAGTGTTTTGCTCATGTTCAAAATTCTTTTTATTGCTGTTATACTTTTTTCAGTTTAGAATCAAAGAGTGGAATAACCACAGTACTGCATCTGATTTCTCTTGTATCTAGGATAAAAAAGAAATAATATACTTTCTAATCCCAATATTTTATTTTATGATGATGATGATGATCAGAACTTTGCAGATGTTACAATCTTCTCTGCAAGATTTTATTAACTGAATCAGTATCACATTGATGCTACTCAGATGTCACAACCAATTCATGTTTTTGCTCATTTGCTTTTCCCAGTACCATCTGATTCCCCCCTGCAGTTCACGATTTCCCAACAATTACAGATTGCCATAAAACTTGAATCAGGCAGATATTTATTGCTAAGACACAAGAAACCACTTGGATTTTCTTGTTTGTGTGTGGGTTGTTTTTTTTTTAAAACTCCTATTCATTTAACATTTGGGGAGGAGAACAGTTTTGTTTTTCTTTAAGGTAAGAGGAAGGATATGTTGGGGTTTGGGTATTTTTATTTCAATTATGTTAATTTTGATATTGTGAGCTCAATTTAAGTAAGCTGCTATTTACCTTGCCTTTATTTTATTATACTTCTGTATTGGTGTTGATGTTTACAAGCTGCTGCGGAGCTGTTTTGAGCCAAAAAGCAGACCCAGAAATAGGCTGCAATTTGTATTACCTGCTAAATACAGCTTGCCTCTGTAATTAGAAACTATACTTTTTAGTACTTTTCTAATTCTGAGTTGGAAGCAAACTGGTTAGCAGTAACTACCTAAGTACAGTAAGAATTATGGATTATCATCCAAGATGGAGAACCTGTGGTCAAAAGTTGACAAACCTATACGGTCAAATCCCCTTCGTTATTAGCCAAACGAGAGGGAGAGGGTTGGAACTGCTACCGGTATTTGGCAAAACTTGGAGAGCCACAGATTTCCCAGTCCTGTTTCATGTTATTTAATAAGATTTATTCTGATTTACTGAATATTACCTAATATCAAGAATTCTCAATCTTCTGAGAATTTGTGGTAATATTTCTTCTGTCTCTGACTCAAAAGAGTGGATTATGTACTTGGTCTTTTCTGCCCCAGATAACTATATAAACTGCTTTGATTTTATCAGGAGCAACACAGAGGCATAACTTGCTTGTAGCTAAGCAGAGTGCCTCATGCAGTCTTCCTACACCACCACCCCCCCAAGATGGAACAAGTCCATCTAAGAGAACTGAACTGTTATTAAATAATATCACTAAGGTGACCAACTTTTTTACAATGAAAAGGAGGACACAAATAAATTGAAGAAAAAAATATTGCAAATAAAAGAAACATTTTATTCATTGCAACAATAATGCAGACAACTTGCATGTGCAAAGTTTGCCTACTGAGTGTTTTGGCACACTCAGCAGCAATTCCTATTGGCTTTCAAATGCCAATAGCGGGAGTAGCACAGCACATGCAAAAGTTGAAAAAAAAAATCAAAAAATGGTGCCGGAATGCCATTCTAAGCATTCTATGAGAAAAAAAATAGCCCTACAGATTAGTCTTCAACTATCAAAAAGGAGGACATGAAGGAGGACACTTTTTGAGGGAGGACAGAATGTACAAAAGGAGGACTGTCCTCCCTAAAGGAGGACGGTTGGTCACCTTATAATTATGCTTACATGCCTATTAATTATTTAAATGAGTACTTTTCCATTGAATGAATATTCAATGGAAAAGTACTCATTTAAATATTCAATATATTCTACCAATATATTGGAAATATCTGAACAAGAAATATCCTACATATTGAATTTTACGGCAAGTGCTGCAGCTAGAGTATCAATATTCAATCTCGATTTCTCACTTGTCCAAAAATCTACATGGCTGGACTGCGCGGGGGTGGGCGGCAGAGGCAGGTGTTGTGAACCAGGCGCTCCAGGATGGCCATGTAGATGCGCAGGGTGAGGTGGTGGCAGCGCAGGTCAGCACTGCGTAGACCACCAGCTGGCGCAGCCCATGGAAGGTCAACTGCCCGCCGTGCCCCCGCCCACAGCCGCCCCGCCAGCACTGCTGCCCTGCCGTGGAGAGCCGGCCCTATGGCTCGCAAAGCACCAGCCGCGCCAGCTCCGGCCCTGCAGCCGCCCCCCAGCACCACCACCCTCCCCTGCCCATCCCTGTAGAGCCGGCCCTGCGGCTTGCAAAGCACCAGCCGCGCCGGCTCTGGTCCTGCAGCCACCCCCCCCCCCAGCCGCCCACCAGCACCACCACCTACCCTTTGTATCCCCTCATAGAACCGAACAGGGA